CACCTCCCTACGGGGTCCCACCACCAGCTTCTAGAGACTATCCTGCTCCGCCTGCTTATGGTTACTCGTACGCGCAGGCGCCATCGCCGCAAAATCCTTACTACAACGTAGCCCAGCCAGCTGGCTACCCTAACAGTGCGTACAATTATAATGCTCAGCCGGCGTACGGTCAGGCTCGGTACGGCGAGGGAAGCGGTGCGTATTACGGGCAAGAGGAAAAGAAGAAGAGCAAGTTCGGAGGGATGGGAACAGGATTGGCTGTGGGTGCGGTTGCAGGGGCTTTGGGTGGGCTGGCGTTAGCGGAGGGTGTGGATGCGCTGGAGGATCATTTCGAAGATAAGGTGGCGGAGAAAGTTGAAGAAGATCTCGGATACGATGATGGTGGTGATGATTTCTAATTTTTTAGATCGTTCTTCACATTCTATGTTGTTAATGTCAATTGAATTGTACTTCAGCGCTACCATAGTAGGATATTAATTAATCCATTTAATGTAATGGCCAAACGTGGTTTTGGGATTTTGATGTCTTTTTTCTCAAGATGATGGGACATTGTAACAGGGCGTGGAGATTGTGGCCATGTTAAAAAGGATATGCTTGTCGCAAATAAAAGCTGAAGTTAGGCATCTAATGCCTTGCTGGAAAGTACTCTGTCCCAATGTATTGAACAATTACCTTTATGATAAAAAGAAAACCATTTCTTTGGACAAGTAAAGAATATATTAAAGCATTTGGGTGTGCTAGGAACTGAGCAGATTCTTATCTTTTTTTATGTTTTAAGTCGGACGGTGATAAAAGATTATATCCCAAATTCCCAATAATTTTTATTATCCAGGGTTGGATGAAGAAAACCACGGCCTTACTCAATGGTTAGATTAGATGCGTTTACTATCCAGGGGTTCAACTAGGGCTTAAGGCTATTACAAAAAGCAAAAATAGGCAAAAGCCCACTAACTGATAAAGCCCAAAGTCAAGGCGTCCTTTTGATCTCTTTGCTGCCGTGTAAATGTGTAATCCATTCAAGCCATTAGCAGGTAGCGACACGAGTAGGAATGCCATATATGATTACATTAAAAGTTAGTAATATAAAATTCCTATTCGTATATGATAGTAGCTGATAATTTTATAAAGGTTGCCTGCTCCAAATCTACTAGTAGTAGTTAATGAAGAGAAAATTAAAACATGCTCTTGCATGGCTGCAACTTTGGAAAAATCCGAGTAGGGGGAGGCATATGCTTGTGAGCAACATCTGAAGTGTAATGCAATGAAATTTTGCCATCCTCCATGCTGAAAACACCGATGTTGCGAGGTCCATAGGGGTCATATAGACATACTTCGTAGTAATCATCCGTATGATAAATGGAATTTGATTGGCATCAGGGAAAATCCGATGTAAGAA